TGTTGTTTGGCGGGTCCGGGCTGGGGATTCGAACCCGCCACCTTAGGTGTACGTGGCTGGCGCCTTAGCCAGTTGAGCTATAGGCGCCGAGCCTAAAAGGGAATAAATTTGTAGAAGCAGAAATTAATATTTTCTTGTCTTTGTGTGACTAGATAAAAGAATCCTGTTATGTCGTTTAATCCTTCTCTCCATCCTCTATGTGATATAGAAAGCTTATCGGATAATGCAACTGCTTTTAGCAACAGATCCAAACAACTTCGAAGGCAAATGTGGTGGCGTGGTTGCAAAGTAAGTAAATCAGAAGATTCTGGATTGTTTAGTTGGCCCCTTAAGTGGTATTCAGACAGATAAGGAAAAAGAGCTCTGTAGTATAACCTCTATGAAGACAGGAACTACAGCTGTTTTCTATCTTCTGAACCTGAGATATGGTAGAAACTCAGTAATTATTTATTGAGTTAATTGAGATACTATGTAGGAATAACTAAAGGAATCAAAAATGCCTAAAAGAATATTTTCTTTTTTTTCATTGTTTTTTTTTATTAGATCATAACTGTGTACATTACTGCATTTATGGGGTACAATGTGTTGATTTTTCATAGATTTCTTCATAAAAGTAATCCACAGTTTGTTAATAACTACCTCTAGACTTACTATCTTGTGACAGTTATACATTTTTCTTATAATTTATGATTAGTACTTTTTTAGAACAATTTCTATAACATTATACAGATTTTTTTAAAAACTAAAGTAAGGGCTAGAAAAAAATAGGGCTTTCTATTAGAAGAGGAAAATATAAGAGCAGCTTATATATCAGAATTTGTTATGGCAAACAGAGTTTTAAAAAGAAAACCACTTATTCTGCATTATTCCAGAGAAATAAGAAATAATTTTTTTTTTTTTTTTTTAGAGATAGAGTCTCACTTTATCGCCCTAGGTAGAGTACGGTGGCATCACAGCTCACAGCAACTGCCAACTCAAGGGCTTAGGCAATTCTCTTGCCTCAGCCTCCTGAGTAGCTGTGACTACAGGTGCCCACCACAATGCCCAGCTATTTTTTGTTGCGCCAGGGCTGGATTTGAACCCGCCACCCTGGGTATATGGGACCGGTGTCCTACCCACTGAGCCACAGGCGCTGCCCCAGAAATAAATTTTTTAACAAGGAAAAAAATGAGAATCACTATAGACTTTTAACATATTACTGCAAAGTATTTTATAGAAATGAATTTACCACTTAAATCTTGTGTGGATACTAATCATTAAACAGGAAACTTTTCTTTTAAGATTTTGTAGTGAATTTCATATCATATAAATAGATGTTTTTCTCCTGGTTCTATGTATAATTTTTGACATTGTTAAAAATCTTAGATATAAAGTCATTGTTTTATGTCTCTCATTTTCAAGCTTGGCAATAACTTTCTAAACTTGATTTGCCATATGCTAATAACTTAGACTTGCCTTGGATTTATTTATTTATGTTTGCCTACTTATTGAACCTCTAACTTTTAGAAATAGAACTGAGGAAAGAAACATGTTTTCTATTCTAAATTCTTTATTCTTTTTTTTTTTTTTTTTTTTTTTTTTGAGACAGAGCCTCAAGCTGTCCCCCTGGGTAGAGTGCCATGGCATTACAGCTCACAGCAACCTCCAACTCTTGGGCTCAAGCGAGTCTCCTGCCTCAGCCTCCCAAGTAGCTGGGACTACAGGCACCCGCCACGACACCCGGCTATTTTTTTGCTTGCAGCCGTCATTGTTGTTTGGCGGGTCCGGGCTGGGGATTCGAACCCGCCACCTTAGGTGTACGTGGCTGGCGCCTTAGTCGGTTGAGCTATAGGCGCTGAGCCTAAATTCTTTATTCTTAAAGGATAAATTTCTGTTTCCATAGAAGTTTTCTATTCTGTAGACTAGTTTGGAAAAATAAAATGTCCCAGGCCCCTTCCTCTCCTTTCTCCCTGCCACACACATGACTGATTCTTGTAGCCACAAAAATGTGGTCATAATGTACGTTTTGCCTCACCTTTTTAAACATATCTAAAGTTTTTCATTTGGTACTTAATGGGATTGGGAGCAGAGTAGTATGCTTTTAAGGGAGAAAAGTTCACTGAATTATATTTTTAAATGATCTCTCTATATTGAGGACTTTTGGGGACCACTAATGGCATTGAGCATGTCATGAAAACTATTGTGCAGGCTCAGCGCCTGTGGCTCAAGTGCCTAAGGCGCCGGCCACATACACCTAAGGCGGCAGGTTCAAATCCAGCCAAATAAGAATGACAGCTGCAACCAAAAAATAGGCGTTGTGGCGGGCCCCTGTGGTCCCAGCTACTTGGGAGGCTGAGGCAGGAGACTCACTTGAGCCCAGGTGTTGGAGGTTGCTGTGAGCTGCAATGCCACCGCACTCTACCCAGGGGGACAGCTTGAGGCTCTATCTCAAAAAAAAAAAAAAAAACTATTGTGCTATAACTTAACAAAGATCATTTCCAGTAGCAAGTATTTTTCATTTGTTATTGTTTTCTAATGCCTAGCTTTCCTCATTCACACTGTGCCCAGTTAGTACTTCATTGTGCTACTTTTTCTGGGGCTTCCTCTCCATGCCCACTATTTGTAGATTGACTTCTACAGTGATGATTTTAGAATGGTTTTAAGGAAAAGAATATAGGGTCAGAAAACAGATAAGGGGTTGCTAGTGGCTAAGGATGATAGAGTGGGGTTGGAGATTGGCTGCAACAGGGCACAAGGGAACTTTGGGATAATGGTGGAAGTGTCTCATATTTGATTTGTGTGATTAAAGTGCATCAAAAGCACTTTAGGCTCGGCGCCTGTAGCTCAAGCAGCTAGGGCACCAGCCACATACACCACGGCTGGCATGTTCAAATCTAGCCCAGGCTGCCAAACAACAATGACAACTACAACCAAAAAAAAAAATAGCTGGGCGTGTGGCAGGCACCTGTAGTCCCAGCTATGTGGGAGGCTAAAGCAAGAGAATCGCTTAAGCCCAAGAGTGTGGGGTTGCTGTGAGCTGTGACAACATGGCATTCTACCCAGAGTGACAGCTTGAGACTCTGTCTCAAAAAAAAAAAAGCACTTTAAAAGTACATATTTTATTATATGTAAAGTGTACTTCAATAAACCTAGCTTTAAAAATAAATAAGTAAGTAAAATTTTCCAAGGGACAGTGAGAGAGTATTGCTAACACCTCTTTTACATATCTAGGGAACTCTGACACTCTTCATAAATCAATTTTTGTCCATGTCATTTGGAAGAGGAGAGCTTTGGACGTGCATAAATACAGTACTGCCATTTGGAGTTAGAAGCATTTCCCATACAGTGTTAGAAACCAAAGGGAGAAAACTCTATTCCATTGAGGTGTTTTTAGATTGATATTGATAGTTCCATTTAAATCTTCCAAAGTTGAGCCTGTACAAATTAATGGACATTTTCAATAAAGTTGGGAAAACTACTGTAAAATTCCAAATTGCTTTCTAAATGTTTCAAATTAATAAAAAGGATTAAAGTCCTTTATAGTATAATGTAGACCCAGACATCTACTGAAAATATAGCTCTTATCTCCATCCGTTCTGAGTCTATTTATATACTTTGGTTATCTTAATTATTAATTTTAATAGGCACTGGCTTCCAGATTGCAAAGTTTCCATATATTCTCCAGGTCATTTTGTTATTGCCATGAATGTAATGCCCTAAAATGTCACCTCTTATTCTATTTTAAAATCATTTCATTAACTACTTCTGGTTATTTGTGAAAATGTTTGATGAAGACAAGGTTTTGTTTTAATTCTTCAAGAAAATTAAATTGTCTCAGTACCTATAACTCAAGCTGCTAAGGCACCAGCCAAATACACCAGAGCCGGCGGGTTTGAATCCATCCCAGACCTGCCAAACAACAATGACAACTACAACTAAAACATAGCCGGGCATTGTGGCGGGCGCCTGTGGTCCCATCTACTTGGGAGGCTGAGGCAAGAGAATCACTTAAGCCCAGGAGTTGGAGGTTGCTGCAAGCTGTGATGCCATGGCACTCTACCCAGGGCAACAGCTTGAGGCCCTGTCTCAAAAAAAAGAAAGAAAGAAAGTTAAATCAATGTATAATTTGTGAATTTAAGGTAAATGATGAGGGTGATAATTTTATATAGAAAGTTAGCATGAGCTTAAAATATTAAGCAGGTGACCAAGAACTGATCTTAAGGTTTCTCCTCTCAGCTGTTAAACTAACACACAGAATTCATTTAGACAAGTTACTTGTTAAATGAGGTTATTCATAAAAAATCTAAAATACATTCCTCAAAATAGAGATTAAAAAGAAAGAAGAAAGTGAGAGGAGGAAAAAAACTAATAGAATTTTCATATAGTTGGAGAATAAGTGCTGTAGCTATGCTACCTTAGGTTATATATTGAACTGTTTGGATTGGCTACCTATGTTATTTATCATAACCTGACACTTGAGTGAGTTGCTAAAATGTCATATATTTTTCCTGGTCCCAAATTAGAAATAAGCATGAGAAATAAGACAAAAATGTACAGGCCTATGATTGTTACAGTTTACTGTCCAGTACAGCCTTGGACAGTAAAATCCAAACAAGCAAAAACCCTCAAATTTGGGGAATTCTGATTATTTACAAAAGAATGCAAAAATAGCCAGCAAGTACATGTGAAAAGAAATTTGAAAACCTTTCAAGGAATATGCCTATTTATTGAGATGATTTAGTACAATGTGGTAAATAGCATAACAGGTAGTTGACTTCATTAACATGTCAAGTACTAATGTTTTTCGTATGCCGTTTTTTGTGTTGTAGATAAAAGCCATCATGGCTTTGGTTGCAGGTATCCTTTTGCTAGTGATTATCAGTAAGTATTTACTGGATTATGACTTCTTGGGGGTATCTCTTGTTTGGGTGTTCATTTTTAATTCCCTTTTTAATTTATTTTCAGTTGGCCTAGTATTTATAATGTCAGTATTAAATAATTTTTTTCTTTTCACCACTATACTAACAAGAATGAAATATTTTTTTACCTGAGTCAGGATCTCTTAACCTAAAATCTCCAGATCTCTGAAAATTCTCTTAAGTTGTATGTAAAATTTTATGTGAATATACAGAAATACATCTTTACAGGAACGAGTCTATATCTTTTTTGCAGATTCACACTCAGGCCCAAAACATTCATCTTCTATTTAGTATTAACTTTCGGGTATAGAAGTTTGCATCTTGTAATATTGTTTTGGGAGAATAAGTCCATATAGGTTATAGTTTTTTGTTTGGTTGGTTTTTTATTCTGTATTTGAGCTTGATTTTAGTCATTAAAGCCTAACTCCTTCCCTTCTTTTTTCCTTAGTGTTCTTTGTAACATCAGATCATTTTTAATATCTGCTTTTCTTCAAGGCCTCTTTACCTGTGTTTACAGAGATTTTATGAAGATTTGGAAAGTGACTAAAAATAACCATTTGAAAAATTCTATTATGCTATTCTCTTTTTAAACAGAAAAAGGTTTTGTTACAAAGAAATCTAGTCAATCCTCATTGTTCATAGATTCTGCCTTTGCAGATTCATTTACAGCTAAAATTTCTTTGTGACTCCTAAATCAGTACCATGGTGTTTTCCGTCATTCACAGACATGTTCAGAGCAGCAGAAAATTGGAGTCTTCCCAACTACCACATTCCCAGCTGAGATCAAACAAGGCCGTCTTTGCCTTTTTATTTCAACTCTTACAACTTAAATGTATTCTTTTCGTAGAATATTTAATGTCATGTTTTTTGCATTTTTGTGGGTTTTTGGCCATTTCACGGTGTAAAGTGCCCTCAAACAGTGCTGAAATGCTCTGTAGTGTTGCCTAATGCAAAAAGGCTGTGCTGCGCCTTGACAGAAAAATAACATGAATTAGGCAAGACTTGTTTCAGCATAAGTTATAATGCTATTGGCCTTGAGTTCAATGTTACAGAATCAGCAATATTATTAAATGTCTTTAACAGAAACACATAAAACAACAACGTGTATGGATTAGTTGACAAAAATGTACTAGCCAGAGGCTCACAGGAATTTAACCCTGTATGTTCCCTAGATGCAAGTTGCTCAGTATTTTTTGGTTTATGGTTTGTAGTGACTTTGAATCATACGTGTGGTGGACAATTTGGGAAATGTGAAATAGCATAAGGAAGAAAATTGAATTCAGTTATAATCTTACCACACGGAGATCCTGCTATTACTATATTATACTGTGTATATACTTCTAGTCTTTTCCTATTAACATATAAAGATGTTTTTAAGATATTATATATACTTTTTAATAAACATATTGTGACTATTTTCCTATTAAATTTTTAAACAATATTTTAACAGCTCTATGATACAGTTATACCATAATTTTTAGAATCAAGATGCTAGACATTTAGGATGTTTTATGATATTTATTGTTCCTTCTTTCCATTTGTTACCTGTCATCGCATGTAAAAGTTCAGTTCTTGCTTGACTCATTTCTCTAAAAGTGAACACAGCTACATTTAAAAATATTGCTTCTAACATACTATATGAATTTAATTTTGATAAATCTTTTCATGTTTTTTTCTTACAGTTCTTATAGTTGTGAAATATCATACTTGATTTGATGACAGAGATCTTCATTAAACAAGATCTGGGACAATAATAATAAAAGATTGCTGCATAATTTAAGTGAAACCTATGTATATAACTTTCAAAACTTCATTTTCAAGAAACTAAGAGGCAAGTATCACTTCAAATTGGAACATTGAGAATGTCCAATTATCTTCTTCTAACAAAATTTTCTTTTAATAATTATGTTTAAGGTGAAGATAACCAACCTCTATTTTGCCATATTCCAAGGATCTAATTTGAAACTAGATACTTGCCTGTCATAATTTGTGTATATAGCTAATGAACACTAATGACAATATTTCATACTAGTATTTTAATGGCATAAGGACTTGGTATTACTGCATTAAGGTTCAGGCGAGGCTGGGGTCAGGAAAGCTATGAAGGTACCAAGTCATTATGCTGAAAGAGATGCGTAACTATTCTGTCAGTATTTGCAAAAATATTCTTTTTGTATTACAGTTGCTTTGCAAGCAATTCCTACATGTTCGTGGGTATAACAAAAGTACTAACTGTTGTAAATGATGCTGCCTTCAGCTATAACTGAAAACATTCCAGTAAATCTGTTTTTGGCTGTATAAGGAAATGTGTAGTAATTTTTTGTCATTTGGATTATGGAAATGGGAAATTTAAACAGTGTGAAAAGACAATATGGTACCATAAAACTGGAGATAATAAAATTATTGAAGAATGTTATTGGAGTGCTTGAAAATGACCAATATTTAGCTACCAGTTATGACCCAGTCTGTTTTCAGTTAAATTCCACTAAGAAGGGACCAGTCAGTCCTGATGTGAATAAATGAAACCTATAGGGAACTTATTCTTCAGTTTTATTTTCATTAATACTTCAACCATGCCTTTTACCAAAAGTGCTCAAAGTAGCAAAATCATCTGCTTTGAATTTTCTGTGGTTGTATTCTCTGGTCATTTGGGGGGACGTGCTTGTTGTACAACCAAGTGTCAGATCAGTAATGAGTAGTGAAACATCAGGAGCCTCGTAATGTGCACACGGGCCACTCAGCCAGTGACCGAGTGCTCGAGAGTCACCGTTATCTCAGCCTGTTTTACACTGGGAAAGGTGGTAACTTTAGGAAGTGCCAATCTCCTTGTGTTGTTTAAGCAAGTCAAAATAAAAATACATTGTCACTAGTGTGTAAGGGGAGGAGAAATTAAAATTGGTGAGTCCGTAGAAACTTCCGCTCATGGACATCTTGAGACTATGAGTGTGTGTGTGTATAACTCCCTGAATTAGAAATAGGGTTAATAGGAATTAGCAATATTTAACGGGGGAAAATGATTCTGTAAAGGTTTCATTGCTTTGGTCATTTTTTTTGTTGTTGTTTGTTTGTTTTTGTTTTTGGCCAGGGCTGGGTTTGAACCTGCTACCTCCGGCATATGGAGCCGGCACCCTACCCTTTTGAGCCACAGGTGCCGCCCCTACTTTGGTCATTTTAATGTAAAATAAAGGAAACATAGAATCTGAGGGATTTTTTTAGAGTCTCACTTTGTTGCCCTCGGTAGAGTGCTGTGGTATCACAGCTCACAGCAACCTCCAGTTCTTGGGCTTAGGTGATTCTCTTGCCTCAGCCTCCCAAGTAGCTGGGACTACAGGCACCTGCCACAATGCCTGGCTAAGAATCTGGGGTTTTTTTGTTTTTACTTTTTAAAATTCTGGGTGACACCTGTGGCTCAGTGAGTTGTGCACCAGCCCGTTATACCGAGGGTGGCAGGTTCAAACCCACTCTGGCCAAATTGCAACAAAAAAATAGCTGGGCATTGTGGTGGGTGCCTATAGTCCCAGCTACTTGGGAGGCTGAGGCAAGAGAATCGCCTAAGCCCAGGAGTTGGAGGTTGCTGTGAGCTATGTGACGCCATGGCACTCTACCGAGGGCAATAAAATGAGACTCTGTCTCTACAAAAATAAAAATTAAAAATTAAAAAAATTAAATTCTATAGTATTAGTACTAGGAGGCAAAACGTTCTATTCAGAATGGAAAGACATTTGAAGGGAGAAAAGAGATTAGATGATATTCAAGACACCTGCAAGTTACGAAGATCTGCATATAATTGCTAAATTTTGTAGTTTGCTTAGAACATTAAAAAGGAGATAAAGATCTTACATATTATGGAACATTGTCTCTGGTCTCTCTACTCTTTGTAGATAAATAACTTCTATTTACATGAAACAAATTAATGTAAATAAAATCTGTAAATTGCTATGAAATCCCTTGACAAAATAGGATGCCCAGGAACATGATCATTTTTAGAATTTCAGTAGCTAATAGTTCTGGAACGGAAATGTTTTAACTGAATGGACAGAATAAATCTTAAAACATGTGATATGTGCCCTTTATTTGGATTGGAACTAGACTCATAAGTAGTTCATTTTTCTATTAGTTGGTATAGAAATCTGGTTTCTCCCTAAATCTATCAGTTGATGAAGATTATTTTTTTAAAAGAATCCACATTTCCAGTGTTTCTTTTAATAAAGTATGCCACTTTTAAAGACATGAATATAAAAAAAAATTATTTTTAAAATTTTCATCATAAAAATAAAGGAAATATTTATGATACTATTGTATATATGTATTTGTCTTTGTATATAAATACATTGCTGCTGAGGATACTCTTGCTGTGTCACTCTTGGAGCTTTTAACAGTGGTGGCCGGGTACACAGTTAGTTTATCCTTTCATCTTCCTTAGTCTTAATTAATCCTGGGACCCTTATAGTGGCTGGCATGTTTCTGACTTTATGGTGGTAAGCTGGAGACATGAGCCTTAAGATGAAAAACAGAAGAAAAATATATTGTTCAACCTGATGCCAGACCTGCCGTCATTCCCTTCCTTAATCACTCTTTTTTTCATTCAGCTCAGATCATCCTGCACTTGAAAAATGAAGTTTTATCACCATCAAAACTATCATTATTTAACAACAATGAAGATCAACAGAAAAATTCAAGTAGCTTTGTAAATACTAACTGATACTCAGTGAAATTAGGTCTCCATTTTTATGCCTGAATATATACCCTTGTGATTTATGTTTCATTGCAGAAGCCTATTGCTTGTGGCAATTTTGTGATTATAAGACTGATTAGTTGCTTCCTGTTTTTAATTATAACTCAGTCAGTAATACCTGTGGTCTTTTGGCTTCTCTGACTTGACAGAGGTCACTGGAAATTGCTCTCAGATTTCTTGATTAAAGGAAAGTGTAATATTGAAGATAGAGTATTAACCTAAAATAGAGGAAGGATAATTAATACACATCAGACATAGAAATACCTTGTTAGCTTTCCTATAGATTACCTATTATTATAGTCTTCCTGTGTATTCCAGTACTCTGAGTTAGAAAATTATAATTTCAGCATTTTTTTAAATTTGCCATTTTATTATTTATTTTTGGGGTGGGGCTGGGTTTGAACCCACTATCTCCTATATATGGGGCCAGTGCCCTACTCCTTTGAGCCACAGGCACTGCCCTAACTTCAGCATTTTTGATAGCAGAAATTGGCATCTTTCATTTCTGTGTACCATATGTATACCCAAATGGTGAAGTCTCTGGCTCAATGCCTGTAGCTCAAGCAGCTAAGGTGCCGGCTGCATACACCAGAGCTGGCGGGTTCAAATCCAGCCTGGAACCGCCAAACAACAATGACAACTATAACCAGAAAATAGCCGGGCATTGTGGCGGGCGCCTATAGTCCCAGCTACTTGGGAGGCTGAGGCAAGAGAATCGCTTAAGCCCAGGAGCTGGAGGTTGCTGTGAGCTGTGATGCCACAGCACTCTACTCAGGGTGACAGCTTGAAGCTCTGTCTCAAAAAAAAAAAAAAAGTGAAATCTTTCATTGGCAGCACTCTTCAACATGCTTGATGCCCTGCCAGCACTGCTGCCCACACTGACTCTGTATTTACATGTGCAGATACACTGTGATTTTAAAAATGAAAGAAATTGTTTCTCCACGTTGAGAATGAATGCTGCTGGATGTGTCCGTAAGCGTACTAAGTCAGAGTATCAGTAAATCAAGAACCACTGGCTCTATTAATCTAATTTTGTGTTTTCACATGGAAATGTGATGAGTCCATTTTTTTTCTGTGAGTAAAGAGAGCATGAGTCAATCTGAAATAATTTATACATTTGTTTTAGAGTGCACCATACTACTTGTGTCTGTGCAGGAAATTGCCACAGAGCAATTTTCCAACAGTGATTATAAAACTGATTAGTTGCTTCTTGTTCCAGCCACTGTTGTTTTTTTCATGTTGTAGACAAATGACACCATCCTTAGACCAGTGGTTCTCAACCTTCCTAATGTCGTGACCCTTTGATACAGTTCCTTTGGGTTGTGACCCACAGGTTGAGAACCGCTGCCTTAGACTGATGTTGGGTTTGGACCTTTTTTTATATGTTTGATGTTTGTGTTACCTGATTTTTTTTTTCTGGGAATCAAGAATAAGGAGTGGAACACAAACTCTTTTATTCTGGCTCTTGTTTTATTCTAAGAAGCTACTTGGAACAAGTTATTAGGAATTAAAAGAAAAGCATGACCGGCCCAATTGTGGAGGATGCATGTAAGCTTGTGGAAGCAAGGACTGCAGTGTGTTTGTGTCTCCCCAGCACAGTGTGTTGTACCTGGCAGGTATGAGCTAAATGTGTGCTGAATGAACGTGCCTAGAAAGTCACAAAGACCCCAGTGTGCTAGTGATAAGTGAGCCCCCTGGACAGATGACTGACTTGAGAGCAGGGTCTTTTGCCCTTGCCTGGAGATGAGAGTGCTCCCTTCCAGTAGCTGGATATGGAGAACATCTGGTTTCACGGGATTCCACTAGGCTCTTCACATTCTCAGTGCATGACGTGCTCCTGTAATCAAGTCATATGTTAAATACCTTAAGGCTACAAAGCAAATCATGTAAGTCAGTGATTTTAGTGCAATATCAGAAATCAAGCTCTAAGAAAATTCAAGCACTTATTTTATGTCTTGGGTGTATGTTCTTATTTGAAATTCCACACTCCTTTATTGAACCATTTTAATAAGTGCCTTTGATGTCTCAGATGTACGGTGGGAACTGAGCAAATGTAAATGTCATGTGCCCTGTTCTCAAGCCTCTCACTTCTTCGTAGCCATTTTTACCAGTATTGCCAAGTGTAGTGCTCTGTGTTAATATCAGATATGTATTTGTAGCCCCTCCATAGTGAATGGCAAATAAACTATTTCATAGAAAATGAAGATTAAGCACTTTGGCTTATTGAATACGTGTTACCTGTTGCCTTAACCTCAAAGCATAACTTACTTAACAAAAATATTTGAATAATCACCCCTAATTTATTCTCTCCCAGTTTCCTAATAAAGTACATGGAGGAAAAATTTTAAAAAGAAAAGGTATTCTGTCACCAAAATCTGTGCCTGATACACAACCTGTTGATTAAATCTGGGAGGAATTTCTCAGTGCAAAATCCTGACAGAAAAAAATCGTGATGGTATACTCACGCCTTACCTCAGCAATGTCTACTGGAAAGGGAGGAAGGTGGACAGCTTTCTGGTGAACTTACATGTCCCCATCAGAAAATCTGGCATCTGTCCCTTGGCTTCAAGGTGCAGCGTTTAGAGACAATCAGAGTAGAGTTTGTTCTCTCCAGCCTTCCTCCACCCACACACTACACTTTGCCTTCTCAGTACTACAAGGAGGTGCAGGAGATGGATGATAGCAGGGGCACACTGTACCCTGAGACAGTCAGTACAAAGAAATTGCTATAGCGGGAACGGAGATGGGACATGCCCTGGTAAATGCATTCTGAGAGTGACAGCGTTTACTGTAAGCCAACCAGGAGGAAAGTCAGACCCTACCTGAGTCCAGCAGAGCCTCGCTCATTGCATGCCCATGACAGGCTAAAAATGGCTGCTTTCCAGCTGCAGACACACGTGTGAGAAGGGATGTCGACGAGTAGCTGAATGTACAACTGAGCAGGGCCAGTGGCAGTGCACCTGCCATATTTATTAATAGGGCCAGATCTCACGGGGGGGGGGTCTAAAAATATGCATATGGGGCTTATAAAACCAAGGGAAAGATAACGTCCTTCTGGATCATTCCCAGCTGTATACAAACTTACTGTTGCTGTTGTTTATTCCTTCTTAACTGTCTGTTTCCCCTCTTCTCCAGCCAGCTTCCACCTGGTATCTTTGTCCCTCTTTATGGCGGTATCCTTAAAAGATTTGGCTGTACACTGTGGGAGGCCAAGGCGGGTGGATTTCTTAAGCTCACAAGTTTTAGACCAGCCCGAGCAAGAGCAAAACCCCGTCTCTATACTGAAAATAGAAAAACTGAGGCAAGATGATTGCTTGAGCCCAAGAGT